GTATTGAATTGCCTGTATTTGCTATCTGCCGAATGCAGATAGCTGTTTGTATGGGGTTTTCCTTTCGTTTCACGAACGGCACTTTGGAGGGCCGTTTGTGAACCGAAAACACTACCCTTAATAGCCCACACACTTAGAGGAGTGTGGCGCTGGTTAACCGATTGCAACAATGTTGCAATCGGTAATTAGAGGCTCTCCTGGGTGGCCGTCGTTCGACTACCGACCATGCGGCGGTCGGCCATCTTGGATCTTTTGTTCCCTCAGCGGTGCTAGGTCGTTGAGCGCATGGTACTAAAAACGGCTACTCGACGGCACGAACACCGCTGAGCCTCCAGGACGTTCGGGAGTTTCAGGCCGTTCGGTATTTTATTCCCTAGAAGGCAATCGGTTCTTTTAATATGTTTTGCAATAAATGTGTTTTTCGTTTGGCGTTCGGTTATTTTAGCTGGGATCTGAGCGGTAATCTCATGAATGATGCGCTCAGACCCCAGCTATCTACCGAACGTCCATTCGTTTAAATAGACCGCATATTCATAAAGTTATACATTTTTATACGAATTGTAAGTTCTGCTGCACGGAGGGATAATCCACTTAACGGTATATTCCAGTGGGAGGATCCCTCTCGTGCAGCAGTGCCTGATGGGAGAAATGCCTTGTATTGTAAGTCCCCCATGTAGTCCCCTCTGGGAATGCCCCTGGGAGGGGACTCAGGAATCCCCTTGCATGGGGACTTGTATAAATTGTGCAGCAGAATTAAAGGACTTCAGTTGACTCTCAGAACTGTGTCGTCCGGTTACTGGGAGGTTGGGGATATTGCCTTGTTGTTCTAACGCTTGACTGTGGATTATTTCCTGAACCAGCGGAATTCGTGGATTTAATATTGGCGTTCCGCTACACTGTGAAATTTGCACTGGTGCTCACCCTCCGCGCTATATTTATTTTACACGAATAAATGCACACACTAAGGTTAACAATAAATATAGATATTTTAATCCTAAGAGTTTTCCTTCAAACAATCCTTACACACTGCGCATGCGCGTCAAACTGAAAGTTACTAAAGCCAAGCTGTAAATAGCTGTTATATCCACCAGCACACTGAGGGAAGTCATGTGAGTGTAAAGCAAGCATGTCAAAATTTTAGCATTCTTGTACATTTGTATCTGTGATAATTCTCTCTCTTTACTCATTATGGGAACAATCATGTCATCAAGGGATTATGGAGACTTTGTATTGAACCAAGAAGCTGAAGGTTGAGTGGCTTATCAATGTTAAATCCTGAGATGACATTCCCATAAAACAAGATTACTGTTATGGATCTTTTATATTAACCGATATTTTTAGGTTAGGGTGTAGGATAAGTGTTAAAGGGACACTATAGTCAGCAGAACAACTTTATCTTAATGAAGCAGTTTTGGTGTATAGATCATGCCCCTGCAGTCACACTGCTCAATTCTCTGCAATTTAGGAGTTAAATCACTTTTATACAACCCTGGTCACACCTCCCTGCATGTGACTTGCACAGCCTTCCTAAACACTTCATGTAAAGTCATCTAATGTTCACACTTCCTTTATTTTAAATTCTGTTTAACTTGGAATTTCTCATCTCCAGCTCTGTTAATAGCTTGCTTGACCCCGCAGGAGCCTCTTGTATGTAATTAAAGTTAAATGTACAAAGCAGGAGATAAAAACTTTTAAAGTTAGTTGCATCAGATTGAAAATGAAACCATTTTGTTTTATGCCAGCTGTGCCAATCACAGCCAGGAGAGGTGTGGCTAGGGCTACATAAACAGAAATTTTTTTATTTAACTCCTAAATGGCAGAAAATTGAGCAGTAAAACTACAGATGCATGATATATACACTCAAACTGCCTAATTAATTAAAGTTGTTTTGGTGACTATAGTGTCCCTTTAAAGTTAGGGTTAGTGCTACCACAGCATTCAAAGGCTATCAACTTACCTTTTACATTGACATGTCCCGTAACACCAGAAGGAGACAGTCCCTCCGACATGTTACCCAAAGCCTGAGGGAACACAATGTGCCTTACAAATGTGACACACGCAGGCTTAGAGTGGAGAAAGGAGGCAAAACCCACTCCCTCACGCACCTTTCTTGAGCGCCTCCTTGTTCCAAATGCTGGGTATACCAGACGTACCTCACAAACCAGCAAGCCGACCATCCTGATCTGTGGACCAGGTAACCCCATTTGTACCCAGAGCCGCGACATCACGGCACAACGATCCTCCACCCTGAGGGGCACGACTGCGCACCCTTGCCTACCTAGTACACTTAATGTGTGAAAACTGTTTCCTTATTTTTTTTATTTTTTTTTTGTAAATTTCTTTTATTCAAAGATTTTTCATTTTATGCAGAAAAAGGAAAAACATTGTCGCGGACACGCAGGTCCGAAAAAGGCTTTCCCAGTCCATGTCTCAGACATGAGATAATCATTGTGAACAACATAGTGACATGCACGTCATCTAACAGATCAAAGATGTATACTAGTTGGGCTCTTGGGTCCTATACACCTTTGTGTGGATGGGGTTTTCCCTCTCTCGTACGGTTGTTGTGGCTATGGTATATCACCCAGTGTGACAAAGGTGGTTGGTGTCTTGTGTCTAGGCTGGTGGTGTGTGTTGACCAACCGTATGGGGGGGGAAACCGGGTGTTGTGTGTGCTTTGCGCGTTCAGTTCTCAGATCTTTGGTGGCAGTGGGGTATACCCCTGTTGATCTGGCTGGGGTGAAGGTGGTTTGTACCGTCTTTAACTCCCGCCTTTGGCGTGGGTGCAAAGTTAGGTTTGTTTCTCCTTGTCTTATCCTTAACTGTGAACCCCTGTCCCTTTTCCTGTTTTCCTGTCTGATTCTCTTTGTCTCCTTCATACTTGACTTCCTTACTCCTTTCCCATTCCTTTCCCTCCTTTCTTATTCTCTCTTTTTACTCTTGGCTATCCCCTTCTTGTTTTTTTTCCTTCTCCCTTTGCTACCCTTATCTTTCCCTCTCTTCCCTTCTTTGCTTAGCTGGTGCCCCTCCGTCTGGAGCCTCTACGTCTTATGAACTTCTCTACTTTGTCGCCTTCCCGTCCGCGGGTTCCCCCAGGGGGGGACCGGTGGGGGGGGAGTGGGGGGGGGAGAGGGGGAGGGGGTGTTTTATTTATTGTGATGTTGATTTTTCCTGTTTGTTTGTGTAGTCACTCCCTCAGTCAAGGTGGTCGTTTGTCCCTTCAGGTGTCTGCAGTCACGTCAGCAGGTCCTGGAAGTCAGCGTTAGTCGAGGTCAGTATCCAGTGTGTCCAGATCGTCATGTACGTCTGGGTCCTCCCTTCTGCCAGCAGGGAGAGCTCTTCCAGAGCTCTCAGCTCCTCCATTTTTTGGTACCACGTCCCCAGCGGGGGCGCACATTGTTTTTTCCAGTAAAGGGGGATTAGGCTTTTGGCTACATTAAGTATCCGTATCGTTAAGGATTTTTTATATGTTGATGCTTTCATCTTGGTGTGATGGATGAGGAATGTTGCGGGGTTCATGGGTGGTGGGGAGTCTGTGAATCTTTTGATGATCGTGTGGATGGTTGACCAGTATGGTTGGATGATTGGGCATTCCCACCATATGTGGAGGTGTGTTCCCTTGTGCGTGTTGCACCTCCAGCATACGTCGTCCTTCGTGGGGTCGTATAGGTGTGTGTGGAGTGGGGTGCGGTACCAAAGGGCCAGTATTTTATATGCTGTTTCTTGCGTTCCACTAGATGGTGCGCAGTGTAGTGAGAGGGTGCAAATTTTGTCCCATTGGTTGGGTGTGAATGTAGTGCCTAACACTGTTTCCCATTTCCCCATGAAGCTTGGGGGTGGCAGCCTCCTCAACCGCATGATCATTCCATAGAGCGTTGACAGGCCCCTCGGCAACGGGTCCGGGTCCATGCATATCTCTTCAAACGTTAAGGGTCTGAGAGTGTGATTGTTTCGGGTGGTTTCTTGTATGAGCCCTTTCAGTTGTCGGTATCTGAATTGGAGCATGAATGGGTGGTTGGAGTTCCCCGTCATGGTCTCTAGTGATTTGATGCGGCCGTTGTCTATGGCGTGGAAAAGCCTCGGTATGTCTTGTCCCAGCAGTTGGACCAACGTTCTTGGTTCCCTTCCTGGCGGGAAGACCTCATTATGTATAAGAGGCATCATTGGGGATGGCGTGGAGGTGAGCGAGAGTGGTACCGCCAGAGCTTGCCATACCCGTACGGTCGCTTTGATTAGGGGGTGTGGAGCAGCTATCTAAGGGAGGTAAAAAATGCCTCCGGTATGGTCGCGGGGATAGCTTGAAACAGGTAGAGGATCCTCGGTAGGATGTTCATCTTGAGCACTCCCACTCTTCCAAACCATGAGAGGCGCACCTGGTCCCATTCCTGCAAGTCCTTCTGTATAGTGGTCAGGAGTGGTTGGAAATTCGCTGCGTACAGTTGGGCGAGGTCGTTTGTTAGCACCGCGCCGAGGTATTTTAGGGAGGTGGCAGACCATTGGAATGGCAGCGCTCGTTTGAGGGCCGTCGCTCTGGACTTCGAAACGGAGACATTGAGGATCGTGGATTTGGAAAAATTGATTTTAAAGTTTGAGAGTTCCCCGTATTGTTCGAATTCTTTCATTATCGTGGGCATGGATGTTTCCGGTTTAGTTACGAAGAACAGTAGGTCGTCCGCATATGCTGCCACTGCGTGTTTCCCCGCTCCTGTCTTCAATCCCGGGATATCCGGGTTGTTCCGGATCGAGTTCAGGAATGGTTCCAGGGCAAGCACAAAGAGCAGGGGGGAGAGGGGGCAGCCCTGTCTGGTTCCATTCCTGATCACGAAGGGGTCCGTGAAGGCTCCATTTATGCAGATCCGTGCTGTTGGTTGTGAGTACAAGGCCCTGATCCAGGACGTCATGTGGGGCCCCATCCCCAGTTTGTCGAGGACCTGGAACATGAAGTCCCATGCAATCCTGTCGAAGGCCTTCTCCGCGTCCGTGGAGAGCAGGAGAAGGCCCTCCTGTCTAGTTTTTGCTAGGTGGATCAGGGAAAGTGCTCTGATCGTGTTATCGCGCGCTTCTCGGTGCGGGGTAAATCCCACCTGGTCCTTATGAATCAAGTTCGGGAGGTGGGCCTGCAGTCTCTGTGCGAGTATCTTCGTAAAAAGCTTCAAGTCGTTATTTAACAGTGAGATGGGGCGATAGTTCGCACAGTGTTCAGGATCTTTCCCGTCTTTAGGAATTAGGATGATGTTGGCCGCCAGGGTCTGTGTCGGGAATATCTGCCCGTCTCGGATCGCATTGAGTGCCGTCGTGAGGCGTGGGACGAGCAGTTCCGCAAAGGTTTTGTAGTAGCGTGCTGGTAGGCCGTCCGGTCCGGGGCTCTTGCCCGTCTTGGCCGTTTTGAGAGCCCATGCTACCTCGTGCGTCTCGATCGGTTCGTCTAGCTCTGTACATGCCTCCTGTGAGAGGCAGTTGCCGATGCGCGGTTCTAGATAGTCTGTTATCCGCGTCTTCCTTTCTGTGTCCGCTCCCTGTCCCCTGGGCGGGTCGAGGGAATAGAGGTCCGCATAGTACGCCCTAATGGTGTTGGCCATCTCGGTCGGCATACTGTGCAGCTTCCCATCTCTGTCTCTGATCCCCGGGATGTAGGCCGCTGCTCTTTTTTTGGCGATCATGCGGGCAAGGAGGGCACCACATTTGTTGGCATTGGTGTAAAAGAACGCTTTGGAGTGTAAGTATGCTCTATGGTGATTGGCATTCAGGATAGAGGAGAGTTCCCTCCTGAGTACCGTTAGCTGTGTCCAGTCCGCTATCAGGTGGGTTTGTTTGTGTCTACATTCCAAAGTCTGTATGTCCTGAATTAGTGTTTTAAGTCTGGCAGATTTGGCTTTTTTAAGCGCGGCGCTTTTCGCTATGAAGTGGCCTCTCATTACGCTTTTATGAGCCTCCCATAGGCATAGGGGCGTGACCTCAGACGTGTCGTTTTCTGTAAAGTATTGCGTAAGTCTTTCCCTGGCTTCTGTCGTCACTGTAATGTCGTTTAAGATCGATTTGTTCAGTCTCCAGTTACTGCAGGTGGGCCTATAGAGTGGGGAGGTTAGTGTCATCGTAATTGGAGCATGGTCTGACCATGTCGCTGTTCCAATGTCCGTTCGTCGAACCTCAGTCAGGTATCCTTATTTTTAATTTTCTATTGTTTAATATGATCACTCTTGTTCTATTGTTTAATATGTTCAGACATACAGGATAATTGTCCTACTTCCCACTTAAGCCAGAATACCTTATGGTTTATAACACACACGATTATTTGACTGCTGACCGCTTGGCCATTATTTACTTATATTTTTATTTCTCTTGTTATTAAAAATAATGTGCTGCCATTCTCAAGGGAGAATCCTAACATTGGGCCATTTTGTGCTTGTTGCTTTTGGTGTGTAATCCTGTGTGTTTGTTTTCTCGTGCTTGTATTGATTTTTGTGCTGAAGGTTGCTATATTGAATTTATAGGTTTGTGATTGCCTCTTTATTGAATTTGTTTTCTTATATTCATCACCTTGTGTTTATATATGCTGTTTTTGGATTATATATATTTAAAAGGCAAAAGTCCCTGCACACAGGCTCAAATGGTACAAATGCCGGGTGCCAGCCAGGGCTAAAGTTATCCAAATAGTTATAGGTCTTCTTTTGTAAAAATTCGAATCTTTATTGGATATGCATTAAAAATCAATGTTTCAGTCCTGCTTTGAGGACTTTCATCATGACAACGTTAGGACTATAGTTAGTGCTATGTTAGTGTGTTAGGATTGGAGTTAGTGTTAATGTTAATGTTAGGGTTAGAGTGTTAGGGTTAGAGTGTTAGGATTGGAGTTAGTGTTACAGTAGGGTTAGTGTGTTAGGATTGGAGTTAGTGTTAGTGTTACAGTAGGGTTAGTGTGTCAGGATTGGAGTGAGTGTTAGTGTGTTAGGATTGGAGTTAGTGTTAGTGTTACAGTAAGGTTAGTGTGTTAGGATTGGAGTTAGTGTTACAGTAAGGTTAGTGTGTCAGGACTAGAGTGAGTGTTAGTGTTACAGTAGGGTTAGTGTGTCAGGACTGGAGTTAGTGTTATGTTATTGTTATAGTTAGGGTGTTAGGGTTGGAGTTAGTGTTAGTGTGTCAGGACTGGAGTTAGTGTTATGTTATTGTTATAGTTAGGGTGTTAGGGTTGGAGTTAGTGTTAGAGTAGGGTTAGTGTGTTAGGATTGGAGTTAGTGTTAGAGTAGGGTTAATGTGTCAGGATTGGAGTTAGTGTTGTGTAAGTGTGTTAGGATTGGAGTTAGTGTTTTGTTAATGTTAATGTTAGGGTTAGTGTGTTAGGATTGGAGTTAGTGTTAGTGTTACAGTAAGGTTAGTGTGTCAGGATTGCAGTGAGTGTTAGTGTTACAGTAGGGTTAGTGTGTTAGGATTGGAGTTAGTGTTAGGGTAGGGTTAGTGTGTCAGGATTGGAGTTAGTGTTGTGTAAGTGTGTTAGGATTGGAGTTAGTGTTACAGTAGGGTTAGTGTGTTAGGATTGGAGTTAGTGTTACAGTAGGGTTAGTGTGTTAGGATTGGAGTTAGTGTTAGAGTAGGGTTAGTGTGTCAGGATTGGAGTGAGTGTTAGTGTTACAGTAAGGTTAGAGTGTTAGGATTGGAGTTAGTGTTAGAGTAGGGTTAGTGTGTCAGGATTGGAGTTAGTGTTAGTGTTACAGTAAGGTTATAGTGTTAGGATTGGAGTCAGTGTTTTGTTAATGTTAATGTTAGGGTTAGTGTGTTAGGATTGGAGTTAGTGTTACAGTAAGGTTAGTGTGCTAGGATTGGAGTTAGTGTTACAGTAAGGTTAGTGTGTTAGGATTGGAGTTAGTGTTAGAGTAAGGTTAGTGTGTTAGGATTGGAGTTAGTGTTAGTGTTACAGTAAGGTTAGAGTGTTAGGATGGGAGTGAGTGTTAGTGTTACAGTAAGGTTAGAGTGTTAGGATTGGAGTTAGTGTTTAGGGTTAGTGTGTCAGGATTGGAGTTAGTGTTAGTCTTACAGTAAGGTTATAGTGTTAGGATTGGAGTAGGGTTAGTTAGTGTGTTAGGATTGGAGTTAGTGTTACAGTAAGGTTAGTGTGCTAGGATTGGAGTTAGTGTTACAGTAAGGTTAGTGTGTTAGGATTGGAGTTAGTGTTACAGTAAGGTTAGTGTGTTAGGATTGGAGTTAGTGTTAGTGTTACAGTAAGGTTAGAGTGTTAGGATGGGAGTGAGTGTTAGTGTTACAGTAGGGTTAGTGTGTCAGGATTGGAGTGAGTGTTAGTGTTACAGTAGGGTTAGAGTGTTAGGATTGGAGTGAGTGTTAGTGTTACAGTAGGGTTAGAGTGTTAGGATTGGAGTTAGTATTAGGGTAGGGTTAGTGTGTCAGGATTGGAGTTAGTGTTGTGTAAGTGTGTTAGGATTGGAGTTAGTGTTTTGTTAATGTTAATGTTAGGGTTAGTGTGTTAGGATTGGAGTTAGTGTTACTGTTACAGTAAGGTTAGTGTGTTAGGATTGGAGTTAGTGTTATGTTAATGTTATTGTTAGGGTCATATAAAAGACACAAGAAACAAAACACGAATTGTGGGAAATAATTTCAGGGCTTCAGGAGAAATTTAAAAAGCTTTCGACCGTTGATCCCTTAATTTTTTGACAATAGTTCACCCTTATCTTTAAAAAATACAAAACACACAAATAGATTATATATAATTCCAAAAAGGAGAGTTAATATACAACATGTAAAAACAATAGAATTATATATAAAATAATTATTATTAGCTTTTATTCATTTAGAAGCAGCAATTAACAGCGTGTTTAATACAGAACTCATCACAAAAGCTATAATTAGCTGCTCATTATATTCTATAACTAACAGATTCTCAGAAAGCCCAGTTAACGAAGGCGCTGCCAACAAGCTCTCAGTATCATTCCTATAATTTCTTACATGTATCATTTCTTTGCAATGTTGGATATTTTATTAAGAAATAAATCTGCTAGCAGCAAATTAACATATTTGCCAAGAATCTGGTGTCTGTAAACCGTACGCTATAAACAGTCTATAAACTCCTTTCGGTGCACTTTCGCAGGCTGGATGAATGCTATATAGAACAGCGATTGACCAATCCCAAACACCCCGTTTCCAGTTACAGGCTGTTCTTCCTTTCCCACGATATAAGAAAAGATGAAAAAAATCTCTGAAAAGCTGGAGGCTGCGCACAGCAAATCCCACACTATTCAGCCAGCCACTTCAGCGCCTGAGGCTTCTGATCCTTAGAACAGAAGATTCATTGAAAAGACAGATTTGAGTGACATTATAGCATACTCTGTACATATTACTTCAGTATTATATCTTATCTCTCCGTACCATGATGGAAGTGGTTGAATTTCAAAATCTCCCTGTTGTGGTAGATGTGCAAATATTCTTGCTACTGTTACTATGTTAAAGGAACACTATAGTATGTAAAACACTGTAATGGTAAAATAGGTGTCTAGCTGCCCCTTGCTTCCTTTTAAAAAGCTGATTTTGCTCACCATTTCTGCCATGCCAGTCTTGCTTTTCCTGGCTTCGACTCTATGGCTGGGATCATCACATTTGGCGATCTCAGCCAATCCAATGCTTTGCCATAGAAAAACATTGGTAGACTATGCATGCGCAGCTGCGCCAACCAGCATCTCCTCATAGAGATGCATTAAATCAGTGTTGCACACGGTTTGAGTTACGCCCACTAGAGGTGTTACTAGGCAGCAAAGTAAACAGTGCTGTTTCTCTGAAAAGACAGTGTTTACATTGAAAAGCTTGCACTGTGGTCACCAGAACCACTACAACTTAATGTAGCAGTTATGTTGTCTATAGCCTGTCTCTGCTGTCTTAGCAATGTAAACACTGCGTTTTCAGAGAAAAGGTGTTTTTATGGGGAAGCAGTATTTCTATGGCAAAGCAGTGGATTGGCTGAGATTATCAAAACTGATGATCTCAGCCACTGAGGCGTACCAGGGCTCTGTGGAAGAATAGGCTTGTTAAATCACCTTTAACCCCTTAAGGACGGAGCCAAATGTACACGTTGTGAACAAAACAAAATGTAAACAAAACCTGGCATTTGCGCTACATGTCTGTCCAACCGTAATACACCTCTTTCATAGTAAATGCACCCACCCTTATTATATATCATTTTATTCAGTGGAAACAGGGCTTTCATTTAATATCAAGTATTTAGCTATGAAACATAATTTAATATGAAAAAAATGGGAGAAAATACGATTTTATTGGATTTTTTTAGTTCTACATGACATTTAAACGGTCAGTGTCATAATACTGTTTGCTTTTACTGCAATAAAATACACATATTTGTATTCAGCAAAGTCTCACGTGTAAAACAGTACCCCTATGTACAGGTTTTATGGCGTTTTGGGAAGTTACAGGGTCAAATATAGCACGTTACATTTGAAATTGAAATTAGCCAGATTGGTTACGTTGCCTTTGAGACTGTATAGTAGCCCAGGAATGAAATTTACACCCATAATGGCATACCATTTGCAATAGTAGACAACCCAAGGTATTGCAAATGGGGTATGTCCAGTCTTTTTAGTAGCCATTTGGTCACAAACATTGGCCAAAGTTAGCGTTAGTATTTGTTTGTGTGTGAAAAATGCAAAAAAAGCCAATTTTGGCCAGTGTTTGTGACTAAGTGGCTACTAAAAAAGACTGGACATACCCTGTTTGCAATACCTTGGGTTGTCTACTATTGCAAATGGTATGCCATCATAGGGGTAATTTTAATTCTTGGGCTACCATAGGGTCTCAAAGGCAACGTAACCAATCTGGCAAATTTTAATGTGAAAAAAATGAAACACAAGCCTTATATTTGACGCTGTAACTTTTGAAAACACCATAAAACCTGTACATGAGGGGTACTGTTGTACTCGGGAGACTTCGCTGAACACAAATATTTGTGTTTCAAAACAGTAAAAAGTATCATAGCAATAATATTGTCCGTTTAATGCTGTTTGTGCGTGAAAAATGCAAAAAACGTCACTTTTACTGGCGATAACATCGTTGTAATACATTTTACTGTTTTGAAACACTAATATTTGTGTTCAGCGAAGTCTCCCGAGTAGAACAGTACCCCCCATGTACAGGTTTTATGGTGTCTCGGAAAGTTATAGGGTTAAATATAGTGCTAGCAAATTAAATTCCCTTTACTTTCGGCATGGGTTGTCATGCAGGTCCTGCTAATTGTAATTATTTAAGATACCTAATTATGTAAAAATATTACATAAATATATATGTAGAATCAATATATGTATATATATACGTATGTGTATATATATGTATATATCTATATAATTTTTTAAAAATATTTTTATTTATATATAGGTATATATATAGTGATATATACGTATATATTTATGTGTATAAATATATATATTATTTCGCTCTATGTGTATTTTGATATATATATATATATATTAATTTCACAATACAGTTAGAACGAAATAACACACATCTATATATTTTTTAATTATTTATTTTTAATTATTTTTGTAATTTTATTTTTTAACGTATTTACATTTTATTTATTTTTATAATATATATAAATATATATATAACAATAATTATATATATATTTAATCAGTATCAGTGTACGTGTAATTTGATATTAATATATATATATAATTATATATATATTAATAGTAAAATACACCTAGACGGTGTACATGTGTGTATGTATATGTGTGTATATATATACTTTGATCATATATATGTAATATATATATATGATCTAAGTATATATTATTTATTTTTTTACACTATTTATTTATTTCATTTTTATTTTCAGCCAGCAGGGGGACCACCTGTCATTACAGGCAGCCCCCCTGCTGGCAATACAGAAGCCAGCTATCCCCGGCCATGTGATTGTGGGGTCCTCGCTAGGACCCCACTCTTACACGGCCGGGGGGCTTCCTGGAGGACGGTCGTGCCGCGGGGGGCTCCCTGGGAGTCCCCCCCACCGCGATCGCCGGCGTGGGACCGCCGGCGACCGGGTAAGTACAGAAAGACCGGAGGGCGTACTATTACGCCCGGCGGCGTTTATAGCCGCCTATTAGAGGACGTAATAGTACGCCCTCCGGTCTTAAGGGGTTAATCTCTGGAGAGAGAGGGGCTGGATCTCTAACGCTGCATTTCAGCACTATAGTGTCAGGAATAAATGTTTTATACACTACAGTGTTCCTTCAAATTACTAAACAATGACAATAATGTCATGTGACGCATCTTCCTCTTAGTATTATTTAGATTACCCAATGCTAATTACTAGTCTAAACATTAGCAGCTGTTACAAAAACAATCTGGTGTTACACTATCAAAAACAGGAAACAAGGTCTAACATTTTGCATGTTAGATAAGAATTGCAGTGGTTTATATCCACATTATTATCTATTTATCACATTGGCAGTTGCTCTACATTTAACAGAATGTAAACAATCTACTTTGAGGCATTTGTTTTACGAACAAAACAGTCTAAACCGCGATACACCTGCTAAATACTTGAAATGACAAGATGTTTAAAGCTCGCAGACCATCTGCTTCAAAATTTCCAATTGTTTGTCTTTGAAAGATACCTGCAAATAAATTTCATTCGAATCTGGCCAATCGCTGCCTCTATATAAAATATAGTGATGTCCCGAACGGTTCGCTGGCGAATAGTTCCTGGCGAACATCGCTTGTTCGCGTTTGCCACGGATGGCGAACATATGCACTGTTCGGTCCGCCCCTATTTGTCATCATTGAGTAAACTTTGACCCTGTACCTCACAGTCAGCAGACACATTCCAGCCAATCAGCAGCAGACCCTCCCACCTCCTGGACAGCATCCATTTTACATTCATTGTGAAGCTGCATTCTTAGTGAGGGGAGGGACAGTGTAGCTGCTGCTGATTTGATAGGGAAATTGATAGCTAGGCTAGTGTATTCAGTGTCCACTACAGTCCTGAAGGACTCATCTGATCCCTGCTGTAAGGACAGCACCCCAAAAAGCCCTTTTTAGGGCTAGAACATCAGTCTGCTTTTTTTTTTCTGTGTAATGTGTGTCAGGCTCACAGCATATACTGTGCCCACTTGCCCAGTGCCACCACTCACTCACTGGTGTCACAATAGTTTGCATTTAAAAAAAACAAAACTTTTTTGACTGTAATATAATAGCAGTCAGTTTCCTTCACGAGTGTGCGTTTCAGGGCCTGCCCAGTGCCACCACTCACTCACTGGTGTCCCAATAACTTGCAATTAAAAAAACCAAAACTTTTTTGACTGTAATATAATAGCAGTCAGTTTCCTTCACGAGTGTGCGTTTCATGGCCTGCCAGGGCACAGTGTCACACCAGTGCAACTCATATCTGGTGTAACAGTAGTGTACATTAAAAAAAAAAAATACAATTTTGACTGTAATAGATTGAATAGCAGTAAGTTGTCTGCCAGCGTGTGTGTCAGGCTCACAGCGTATACTGTGCCCACTTGCCCATGGCCACCACTCATATCCAGTGTCACAATAGCTTGCATTTAACAAAAAAAAAACTTTTTGGACTGTAACATAATAGCAGTCAGTTTCCTTCACACGTGTGCGTTTCAGGGCCTGCCAGGGCACAGTGTGACACCAGTGCAACTCATATCTGGTGTAACAGTAGTGTACATTTAAAAAAAAATAAAAAAAATTTTTGACTGTAATTGATTGAATAGCAGTTAGTTGTCTGCAAGCGTGTGTGTCAGGCCTACAGCGTCTACTCTGCCAACTTCTGCCACTGCACAGTGCCACTCATATCTGTTGTCACAGTAGCTTGCACCCATAGTACCACTAATCGAAAAAAAATGACAGGCAGAGGCAGGCCGCCCCGCAGGGGCCGTCGTGGTCATGGTGCTGTGATTCCCTTTGGCCCTAGAATAATGCCCAGTGTTCAGAGGTACCCTGAACTGAAAAGTTCTGAGGACATAGTTGACTGGCTAACACAGGACACCCAATCTTCTACAGCTTCCGCTCAGAACCTTGACGCACCATCCTCCTCCAGCTTAGCTTCAGGCACCTCTCAAGATACCACTCACCCGCCTGCCGCCACCACCAACACTAGCACCACAGCCGCTTCACTTGGTATGTCAGAGGAGTTATTTACACATCCGTTTGAAGAAATGAGTGATGCGCAACCATTATTGCCAGAGGATGTAGATAACAGGGATATGTCTCAGTCAGGCAGCATTACACACATGGACGTGCGGTGTGATGATGATGATGATGTTGTACCCGCTGCTGCTTCCTTTGCTGAGTTGTCAGATACAAGTGAAGCGGTTGATGATGACGATGCGTCCATGGATGTCACGTGGGTGCCCGCTCGTCAAGAAGAAGAACAGGGCGAAAGTTCAGATGGGGAGACAGGGAGGAGGAGGAGACGAGTTGGAAGCAGGGGGAGGTCGTCGCAAGGAGCTAGTGGCACAGTCAGACAGCATGCATCGACACCCGGGGTCAGCCCGACAGCACGCCAATCAACGCATGCTGTGTCCACCACCAGAATGCCGTCATTGCAGAGCTCAGCAGTGTGGAATTTTTTTTGTGTGTCTGCCTCTGACAACAGCGATGCCATTTGCAACCTGTGCCAAAAGAAACTGAGTCGTGGGAAGTCCAACACCCACCTAGGTACAACTGCTTTGCGTAGGCACATGATCTCACATCACAGACGCCTATGGGATCAACACATGAGTACAAGCAGCTCGCCTACTCTAAGCCGCCAGCCTCCTCCTGGTCCAGCATCTTCAGCCACGTCAACCACTGCTGTCCTCCTTGTCCCCTCTCAACCTGTTATGGACAGATGAATTAAAATAAAATGGCTATTTACTAATGTCTATTTATTCTGTGTTCACTATGTTAAAACTGGCTGCTAGAGTAAATATTCCCTTCGCCCCCTACAATGTGTTCAGTTGCTGTTTACTATGTAAATTCTTCATCCTGATAAGCATCCCCCTTCAAATCAAGCAAACCTTGTGTAAACAAAATTCCTGTGTTAACAGCTCCCTTTACTAACTCCTCCCCCACTACCTTTGTGCCAGTTAAACAGCTATATGCCACGTATAGCTAAATGGAGGATCATTGGTTTAGAACTGATAGATACCACTCACTCCCCCTCCCATCGTGTATCCAAAAGTCTGTAATGATGACACTACATTCTGTAGGGAGGTTTAAACAAGAGCCCCCTTTCTCTGTTAACCAATTGGTGAATGTATACTGTATGTTTAAACTGTGACGTATTTTTGCTTTAAGAAGGAGCCCCCACTCCGGGGAATAAAGCATTCCTGAGTTTTTCACTGATCAGAAACTTTGTCTCCGGTGTGAATTACTTCTAGGGATAGCGTGCACGCATTAATCAATCAATTTGGAAGGTGTAGATAGACAAATTATCAAAGTTTTCTTTGGTCCAAATCAGTTGGCGCACTTCCGAACAGGGACGAGAGGGTTGTTGTTATTCTGCTCGAAGCCGTAAAATCCCAGGACCGGAGAGGAGACCCCCAGAGATTGGAAAAAAAAAAAAAGAGCCTGATCACCTCTGCATATGGTAAATGAGTAACTTACCTATATTTTCCATTCTTTGGAATTGGTCTGCACTCTGGGCCTTCACTCGGCTTCCTGTGGTTAACGTCAGACAGGTATATAGTATGCCCACATGTCCCCTTTTATATAGAACCTGTCACTTGTCTATCTACAGCCTGAGTCCTGAGTGTGAGTTTTATGTGTGAAAGTGTCTGTTTGAGAATCTGTTTTACTTTCTTGTGATTATTTAATTCAGGGTGCAAATATACCTGGAGTTTTTAGGCCAGATTATATTAATTAATATTTTAATATTAATTCTTGGCGTTTCCTTTGTTGTTTTTCATTTAAATTCAGGTGTGCAGAATAGCCCCTGGTGGTTAGTTTTTGTCCGATTAAGAATAGATCGTGGCGTTTCCTTTGTTGTTTTTAATTTAAATTCAGGTGTGCAGAATAGCCCCTGGTGGTTAGTTTTTGTCCGATTAAGAATAGATCGTGGCGTTTCCTTTGTTGTTTTTCCTTTAAGTTCAGGCGTGCAGAATAGCCCCTGGAGGTTTAGTTTTTTGTCCGATTCATATTAAAAATAGATCGTGGCGATTCTTTTGTTGTTTTAATAAAAAACAACAAACAAAGAGTGAAGTTGTTGTATATGTGCTTGAGTGTTTCTGTGTGTGATTTGATTTATTATAAGCCGGCATTTATTTTAAGAACTTTGTGATTTAATTACATCTGTATTTTGTGCTTTTGTCTGTGTATGTCTTGTTAGGTACCATATATGTTAATTGTAATCTATACAATTTGTATCGTTACTCTCCTATTCTATCTTTTGTCCTAAGGAGAGCTGTGCTTAGGCAATCACATGGTTAAAAAACTTTGTGCTTGCAAGTCTTCCTCCCTCCTCCCCCCTCCTTCTTTGTTGCTTTCTCTTGCTCTGACTGCTATGAGTATTGGCTACAGGGGGGTGGGGTGAATGGGTGAAATGCTTGTAAACTCAGTGAGGAATGTGAGGGAAACAAGGTATATTTGCTGGACGAATAACCTAGTTAGGAACTTTGTGTAATCTTGTATATGTTGTTAAGTAAGAGGTTATTGGCATGTTGGAATAAGGAAAGTTAGATTTTGTTGGAACAAATGAATTGTGGAATTTATAAATGATATCGCAGAGAAAAGTAAATTGCAGTTTGCATTTAATAGCAGCTATTCAGATGCTGTTTTGTGGCAATCTTTATACACACAATGTGAAATTGCCAATAGTGAAATTGACAAGAAATTGTTTGTTAATAAGAAAAAAAAAAAAAAAAAAAAAAAGATCAGAAATGTTATGAAACTAGTCTGTACTTACAGTGCATTGATTTGTAAACGTAATGCAGGTCAAGACAATTTAGAATCATCAGAAAAAGAAGTAGATTTGAATGGGTTAACAGAAGACAAATCAGATTTAAATGAACAGTGTAACAATGTAACAGGGAGCACATGCTGTAAACAGTCAGAAACAGTCTGTGAATTAGAGGATAGAGTTGAACTAAGAAATGATCTTATTTGCCAGCTTAGAAATGAAGTTAAGCAAGTGTGTGTTAATACAAGAAAAATACAGACACAGAATCTAATCCCAGAACCAATAGATACTGAAAATGTATCCTCACAGAGTGATTTGCAGAAAATATAAATTTCAAGACAGAGCTGCAAAACTTAATTTGAAAATACATGAACAATTAATGAAAATTGTGAAATGTATTCCAGTTTATGACACGTCAGTGGATGCATTTACTAATGCTGGAATGTTTGAGTCAAATGTGGACAAATACAGCCTAAATGACGAACAAAGGAATAGATTGTTTAAAATATGGCTGCCGACTCAAATGGCATGTAGACTGACCACGCTTGTAAAATTTGAGGACAATGATAAAATAATATATGGAAATTAGGAGACAGACAAGCAATGCAGCGTAACACAGAAAGTTATAAGAATCAGATAACTTCAAGAGATATGATCAGTTTAGGGAATGAGCATGGATATGTCTGCCAACAGATGTACACAGGCTGATTCCAGAATTAAGAACAGCACAAGAATAGAGATCTATGTCAGTTTATTGTTTTAAATGAATTGTTAGTCTGTACTGTCTTTCATTGTTTTTATATGTGTTATAAGAAAGTATTAGGTTAATTAAAATAAAAATTTAAATCAAGTTTGCACATATGGCAGAATGAGATACACTAATGTAGCAGTGAGGAACATGCAATGTTATGTTGGGTGTATGCAATTATATAGTAACTCCAATCATTTTACAGAAGAAAAAACAATAGATTTATTCTTTGTTGCTTCTGAGGTTGATTTAAAATCTTTGATTTAATTCATGAGAATGAGATTTTAATATCATGACTGATAATGGATTACTGTATATTGCAACGCCTGGACATACACATGGTTTGGATATACTGAAGACAAAAGGAATAATATATGGGAATGGATAAGGCTGATTTCCCCCTATCCACAGCTACGCCTACTCCTAAAGTAACATCGCGTACATCCTTACTATGCCCTTTTACTGTAGAATTTCCCGAATCCTAATGACCAATTCCACTACATGGTGTGACTTGTTTAAGCCTAAGATAAATTGGCTGATCAGGCTACCTGTATTAACAATGTCATCAACGATGAGTTAGCATCTGTGGAGAAGTATCACTTCAGGTTGTCCCAAATTTTCTTTTAACTTAAGTTTTAGTACATAGTAAGGCCCATGCCCAACAACTATATGCAGCCTTGTATAGCAGGCCACATGACATCTATTTGTACCAAGCAAGGCCTGCCTGACTCCTCATTCCTGTCTAACATTGTTGTCTCCTGCATAAGTGTAGATGGCTCTCTTTGGAGTAGCCTGTTAACTAAGCCTTGCTTTGTGGTTACTTTCACCTGTCCAATTAATCTGCTAGGTGCAGATGTCCTTCCCCCACTTGCAGGCCCCTATCACCTTATTATTTATTTTGTTCCACACAGTGAAACCTGACCAAGAGGCAAGGGTCCTAGCTAGTTCCCCCAATACCTTTACCTGAATTATACAGGCCCCAAAGCCTGTCCAAGCTCTTACTATTCCCTAACAGGTTAAGGCTCTGGTGTCGAATGGTGCCCTGGTTACCTGAGACTTTCCATGCAATATCCCACCTCTCCTTGTGATGGACGAATTCTGTGCAGGATAATGTCACCCTGCAGGGATGATACTCTATTTACCTGGCCACTCTTCTGCCACTTCCCAAGGGGGGAAATGATAAGACACTGACTATTTTTTTTTTTAGCATTTTTCTTATGATCTGTTCCGGATTTGCTGTCACTACAGTGGACCAGGTATCTCACCTCAACAATGTCTGCACAAGAAGTTGAGCTATAGGCTCCCATCACAGCATGCAAGATCTCTGAAGGAAGACTGATCTCGGAGAAAGCATGTGGCAACTCTCTGGCTGACTAAGTTGTTCAATAAGTTGTAAGTGCACTAAGGAAAGTGGACAGAAAAGTGTCTACTGAAGAAACTCCCATATTCACCATGTAAGATCCTACCCACAGACATCAAGCTCCCGAAGGAATAACAAGCAAGCTACTGACCCTGGAAAGAAAGAAAAAACAAACAAACCACAAGCTGGAAACAGAAAGGGGCAACTCTTAAAGACAGGCTGTACTTCAACAATCTCAAGTTATACTTGCCCAAGAACATATACTCAGCAGTGGTCCAGTGGGCCTACGGAGCATCTGTCCAGAACCCTCATGAACTCTTTTGATCAATAAATACTCTGAAGTACCAGGAATTGCCTCTCTGACCAACAGTTACTGTAAATCTTGTGCCATTTGTGCCAAGGGCAACTCAAGAAGAATGGATGAAAGCCCCAAGCATCTAGCCAAACCTCATTATCTCTTCCAGAGGAGTCAAGTAGCCAGAATGCCAAAGAATGGCTGATTCAAATATGCACTAATTATAGCAGACATGTTTTCAGGATGGCCAGAGGCCTATCCAGCCACCAAAGTGATAACCAAGACCACATGCTGAGTAGTGCACCGTGAAAGATACAGAGATCACCCCGTGGGTTCATCATTCCAGAATCAAGCCTGCCTCTGCATCATGTGAAGTAACATTTGTTGATCTTGACAACCCTTTTTGAAACTCCATTCTTAGAGAACAAAGATACTTGTTGAAAATAAATAAATAAATATCAACAAGTGGGTGTTTTGATGGCCATAATAATGCCTGACCACCTGCCATCGATGGAAAGCTGAATACCCCAAAAGGGGACCTCGTGAAACTAAAGAGAAACAAACATACTCCTTACCCTGCAGCCCTCACGTCTGAGGTGCCATACGCACAGTCAAAGCTTCTTCAAGATCATCTGCTTATCTTGAGTTTGTGGTGATATTAATATTGAATGTTTAAATGATCTGAATCTGCCAGTACTAGGGTAGCATGAGACAAGATTTCTAAGAATAAGTAAATGTGCCCTAGCCTAGGTTATTATGTCCATACACATAACACATGACAATCCCCAAGGTACTCTTGACACACCTCATTCATGCTTCAGGACAAAAAGGAGTACCCCTATAAAGGGTGGTTTTACCCACACATATATATATATATGTATATTAATGCCATAGGGGTGTCAAGGGGGGTACCAAATAATTTTAAGGTAAGAAACTAAGTTTGAATCTATTCTCCCAAGCATTACGGCTAATAAAATCTGAATTGGAAGGGAAGAGGTTTATACAATAAACAGGAGACCTTTTTCTTACAGGACATGTATGACTCAGCTGAATGGGTAGGTGCCACGCACATGACTGTTAATCCCCTCAAACCACACATTAGGACTTTAAAAGACATGGTAGTCATCCCATATTTGAGGATAAGAGGGCTGTAGAGACAGGTTTCTCTGACACTAACTTGTGACTTGAATTGATGAAATACAATGCTACTAAACATAACAAGTCTAACTGCTATGTCTGCAGAGGAGCGAGGCCTCACCCAGGTACAGTATCCCTGAACCTTCCTCCGGATATGAAGTATGCGTTTTAAGTCTCTACACTGTATTTAAACCTAAGCGGTTAGCATGCGAGTCATGGAAACTTAATACCCAATCATTACTAAAAATATTATGCCCAAACGAAGGCATTACTATATATCCTGGGAACTATACTTGTTATGGGATATATGGTGGGATAGGGCGGTTACAAGCTACCTCTCAGATGACCTTCCACAATAGAATAAGCTTTAAAATGATTTTGGCAGAAAAAGGGAGAGTATGTAAAATACTCCCAGACACCATAACATGCTGTACCTATATTCCAGACAATACAGGCCCTAATGGTAAGGTAACGTTGGCAATAGAAAAGTTAAAGAGTTTGTCCAATGAGCTGAAACGAAATTCTGGGGCCGCAGATCCATGGGAAAGATGGTTTGGATGGATGACTGGATGGCAAGGTGCTCTGGCCCAAATGGTGTTGCCATTTTAATAACGATAATCATCCTCGCTCTTCTTGTTTGTTGTGTGTTACCCTGTCTTAAGAAATGCCTACAAAAGACAGTTGATCAGACAATCGACCAGACCACCCCGACCTTCCTTCACCAAGAGATTGACGATATCGACCGTGATACACCACATACACCCTTACAGTCCCACCGCACTAAATCAACAGCTACTTCCTCTTAAGGACATTTAGGGATAGCGTCTGTCTCTACGGGCAGAAGTCTGCCGCGGGAGAAGTAGTGGACAAGCTGCTATGGGGTACCCGCGCAGTGAAGTGTTCGAGGCCTGTTCAGACAGATGTGCAAGATAGCCTTTTGTTATTTTTCTATAGGGACAGTATTAGAATGAGAGATAGTAGTTTTAGTAAAAATTGCCATTTTAAGGGGGGACTGTTATGGACAGATGAATTAAAATAAAATGGCTATTTACTAATGTCTATTTATTCTGTGTTCACTATGTTAAAACTGGCTGCTAGAGTAAATATTCCCTTCGCCCCCTACAATGTGTTCAGTTGCTGTTTACTATGTAAATTCTTCATCCTGATAAGCATCCCCCTTCAAATCAAGCAAACCTTGTGTAAACAAAATTCCTGTGTTAACAGCTCCCTTTACTAACTCCTCCCCCACTACCTTTGTGCCAGTTAACAGCTATATGCCACGTATAGCTAAATGGAGGATCATTGGTTTAGAACTGATAGATACCACTCACTCCCCCTCCCATCGTGTATCCAAAAGTCTGTAATGATGACACTACATTCTGTAGGGAGGTTTAAACAAGAGCCCCCTTTCTCTGTTAACCAATTGGTGAATGTATACTGTATGTTTAAACTGTGACGTATTTTTGCTTTAAGAAGGAGCCCCCACTCCGGGGAATAAAGCATTCCTGAGTTTTTCACTGATCAGAAACTTTGTCTCCGGTGTGAATTACTTCTAGGGATAGCGTGCACGCATTAATCAATCAATTTGGAAGGTGTAGATAGACAAATTATCAAAGTTTTCTTTGGTCCAAATCAAACCATCCGCCACTCCGCCTCCCGCCTTGAGCAGTTCACGCTCATCTTCCCACAGTCATGTGTCTGTCAAGGACATGTTTGAGCGTAAGAAGACAATGTCAGAAAGTCACCCCCTTGCCCAGCGTCTGACTGCTGGCTTGTCCGAACTATTAGCCCGCCAGCTTTTACCATACAAGCTGGTGGAGTCTGAGGCGTTCAAAAAATTTGTAGCTATTGGGACACCGCAGTGGAAGGTACCCGGCCGAAATTACTTTTCGCAAAAGGCAATCCCCAACCTGTACTCAATTGTGCAAAAGGAAGTAATAGCATCTCTGGCACACAGTGTTGGGGCAAGGGTCCATTTGACCACTGATACCTGGTCTGCAAAGCATGGTCAGGGCAGGTATATCACCTACACTGCGCATTGGGTAAACCTGCTGACTGCTGCCAAGCATGGAATGCATGGCTCTGCAGAGGAGTTGGTGACACGCCGACTTGCAGGCAGTCCTGCTGCCACCTCCTCTACTCCTCCTACTCCATCCTCTTCCATAACCTCCTCGGCTGAGTCCTCTTCTGCTGCTGCGTCTTGCTCCACATCAGCGGCACACCCCCAGCTCCCCAGGTACTATTCCACATCCCGGATCGGCAGTGTCACGCCGTCTTGGGTTTGACTTGCTTAAAGCAGAAGTCACACCGCACAAGCACTCCTGTCCGCCCTGAACGCACAGGTGGAAAAGTGGCTGACTGCGCAGCAACTGGAGATCGGCAAAGTGGTTTGTGACAACGGAACAAATTTGTTGGCAGCATTGAAGTTGGGCAAGTTGACACATGTGCCGTGCATGGCACATGTGTGTAATCTGATCGTACAACGCTTTGTGCATAAGTACACAGGCTTACAGGACGTCCTGAAGCAGGCCAGGAAGGTGTGTGGCTATTTCAGGCGTTCCTACACGGCCATGGCTCACTTTGCCGATATCCAGCGGCGAAACAACATGCCAGTGAGGCGCTTGATTTGCGACAGCCCGACACGTTGGAATTCAACACTCCTAATGTTCGACCGCCTGCTCCAACAAGAAAAAGCCGTTAATGAATATTTGTATGACCGGGGTGCTAGGACAGCCTCTGGGGAGCTGGGAATTTTTTTGCCACGTTACTGGACGCTCATGCGCAATGCCTGTAGGCTCATGCGTCCCTTTTGAGGAGGTGACAAATTTAGTCAGTCGCACCGAAGGCACCATCAGCGACATCATACCATTTGTTTTCTTCCTGGAGCGTGCCCTGCGAAGAGTGCTGGATCAGGCCGTAGATGAGCGTGAAGAGGAAGAGGAAGAGTTGTGGTCACCATCACCTCCAGAAACAGCCTTATCAGCATCGCTTGCTGGACCTGTGGCAACGCTGGAAAAGGATTGTGAGGAAGAGGAGTCAGAGGAGGAATGTGGCTTTGAGGAGGAGGAAGAGGAGGAGCAAGACCAACCACAACAGGCATCCCAGGGTGCTCGTTGTCACCTATCTGGTACCGTGGTGTTGTACGTGGCTGGGGGGAAGAAAATACCTTCATTGACATCAGTGAGGAGGAGGAACGGGAAATGAGTAGCTCGGCATCCAACCTTGTGCAAATGGGGTCTTTCATGCTGTCGTGCCTGTTGAGGGACCCTCGTATAAAAAGGCTGAAGGAGAACTACCTGTACTGGGTGTCCATACTAGACCCCCGGTATAAGCAGAAAGTGGTGGAAATGTTACCGAATTACAACAAGTATGAAAGGATGCAGCATTTGCAAAATAAATTGAAAAGTATGCTTTACACAGCGTATAAGGGTGATGTCACAGCACAACGGGAATCTAACAGGGGGAGAGGTGGAAGTCATCCTCCTCCTCCCATGACCACGCCGGCAAGGACAGGACGCTTTAGAGACGTGTTGTTGATGGAGGACATGCGGACCTTTTTAAGTCCTACGCATCGCCACAGCCCTTCGGGATCCACCCTCAGAGAGCGACTCGACCGACAGGTAGCAGACTACCTCGCCTTAACTGCAGATATCGACACTCTGAGGAGCGATGAACCCCTTGACTACTGGGTGTGCAGGCTTGACCTGTGGCCTGAGCTATCCCAATTTGCAATAGAACTTCTGGCCTGCCCGCTTCAAGTGTCCTGTCAGAAAGGACCTTCAGTGCAGCAGGAGGTATTGTCACTGAGAAGAGAAGTCGCCTAGGTCAAAAAAGTCTAGATTACCTCACCTTTATTAAGATGAATGAGGGATGGATCCCGAAGGGACTGACACTGGGCGATACATTAGATTAAAAGGCCTGATGAGATGAGCTGCCTTGGGCTAAAAATGGTCCACA